ACCTCGTCAGGGAGCTCGCTTTGGTAGATCAGGGGCGAATCGACCGGACTAAAGGATTGAGGGGTTGGGCTACTCTTAGATCTCATACCAATGAGTGGATGTTACGACCTGAAGGTCGTGCGAGCAAAGGTCAGGGTTTCGACCTGGCAAAATTACTGCAGAGAGGGGTCACAAGGTCGTGACAACGATCTAAGGACCTAAGAGTCGTATCACAGAAGGAAACAAAATCCTGGTAAGGATAAAAAGAATATCTCGCTAAGGAGTTGAAGATACTAGAAACGCGCTATGCTATTGCTAGGAAAAAAGATACGATGGGATCTCCTTCATTGTACGGAGTCTACTTGAGCAAGAAGATAACCCGGGTGTAAAAGGGGGTTACAAAATCTATTATATGTAACGTATAATTACACCTTTGCATATAATTTTTGATACACTCACGAGCAAAACTGCCTTAAGTGTCGGGGGTTTTTCGCTTTGGACCCCTCCTTGACGTATTTGCAGGTCATCGGGGCTCAAGACGACGGACCATTTGTGGCAGTGCCAATTTAATCCGATTTGGGAGCAATTTGCGTATACAATACAATTTTAATATTTAAAAACCATTAATTAATATACATTAATCTATAAAATATATACTATTATCAATTTACATATCTATAATTATTAATCATTTACTAATCATATTATAACTAATTATAGTTTTTTACAACTCATCATTTTAATGTAAAAATCATTAGTTCTCCCATAGTTTATCCCATCTCGCATCTCCACACGGACCACACCTCTAATATTCAAAAGAAAAATATTTTTCGCACCAAATATTAGGTGTTTTTCTAAATAGAATACTTGAATTGAAAAGAAACTAACATGGACCGAGTGAATCAAAAAGTCGCAAGTACATGGAAATAAGAAGCATTGGTGTCGCTTATAGACCATATATCAGACAAAAAATGAGAAAAAAGTAAAAATAAAAATTAATAGTGTTTGTTTATAAAACTAGTGTATAGTCCATACAACAGACGTTAAATAATATTAAATAATAACTATAAAGAGGTTTCGAATTCGAGTTATCTAGTAGGGTAAGTGAAAAAAATTATTGATCTTTTGTTAAGAGAGAGAGAGAGAGAGAGAGAGAGAGAGAGAGAGAGAGAGAGAGAGAGAGAGAGAGAGAGAGAGAAAATAATTAAGAATTAAAGATGAGAGTAAACAATATTAATTAATAATTATAAATAAAAAATATAAGTAAATAATAATTATAAGTAAAAAAATATTAAATAATGATTATAAATTAAAGATGTGATGATAAAATTATCTTGTAATAAAGAACATAAAAAGTGTATGTTTAAAGTATTAAAAAAAAAAAAAATTACTAACAGAAGTTGGCTCAAGTGGTAAGCAACTTGATGTCGCTTAAGCAAGGTCTCGGGTTCGAGTCCTTGTGGATGCAGAAAACCCTTGTTGGGAGACTCACCCACCACTGCTAGGTATGCGACCCGGGTCGACCAACGGATTAGTCGGGGCATAACTCCGGATACCGTAGCTGGCTAAAAAAAAAGTATTAAAAAATTTAAAATATTATATAACATATGTAAAACTATCTAAAATTTTCTATATTATTATTGAAAGATGCAAAGTCATATAATTTACCGTTCATTCACTGATATAATTTTAATTAATCCTCACTTCACATTATCTCTTTCATACTTTTACATCAAATTAACTTTAATTATTTTAATTTTAAATATAATTTTAATATAAATTTTAAATCTCACTAACAATTAACCATACCATAGTTTTTTAAAGTTAACTCTGATTAACAGCATAGCTCATTTGAACTCATACATTTGCATCAAGCACACCCTAAAATTGAGCGAGGAGCTTCAAATTTCATTTTCCTTCATGCAAAGAGAGTCGCACTAAAACCCTCACTCTCTAGTCTCTCCTACTCTGTAACATAAAACTTGAAAACAAGAAAATTGAGGCGAACCTACTGAAAAGGGCCAATTTGTGTCTCGGTTTGGGAGTTCCTTTTGGGGTGCAGGCCTTGAATTTGCACTCGCATTTCTGGGTTTCTCTCACATCTAATCGTCTGCGGAATCGGGTAAATTTTTGTATGTGCGTTTCTTTATGTGCATGTACGAGAGCTTGGTTGTGATTTTTAAGGTTGTGGGGTCGTCTAAGTTGTTTCTAGGTCAAATCTCGTACTGGTTCTGGGTTTATGGAGGTCTGATTTCGTTTAATTTTCTTTGCTCTCCTTTTTCTCCATTTTTGTTTTTTGCTTAACGCGTCTCCATTTCGTTTCTTTATGTGCATGTACGAGAGCTTGGTTGTGATTTTTAAGGTTGTGGGGTCGTTTAAGTTGTTTCTAGGTCAATTCTCGTACTGGTTCTGGGTTTATGGAGGTCTGATTTCTTTAGATTTTCTTTGCTCTCCTTTTTCTCCATTTTTGTTTTTTGCTTAACGCGTCTCCATTTCGTTTCTTTATGTGCATGTACGAGAGCTTGGTTGTGATTTTTAAGGTTGTGGGGTCGTCTAAGTTGTTTCTAGGTCAATTGTCGTACTGGTTCTGGGTTTATGGAGGTCTGATTTCTTTAAATTTTCTTTGCTCACCTTTTTCTCCATTTTGTTTTTTTTGCTTAACGCGGGTCTGTTTTTGAGTTTTTTCAGAAGAGGGGCCTTTGTTTGGGGATTTTTTTTGAATGCAGATGTATTTCGTGTATTTGCATGTTATTGATTTGAACCAAGAAATTTTGTACACTGTGGTCAACTCACAAGCCCACCACCTATCCTGGTTGAGTGTTCGAAAATATTTTTGAGAACTTCATCTGCAGCTGATGTGATGGCAAATGTTGAATTGCTCTTGTGTATGTTTGTGAAATGCAATACATTATTTCCGATTTCTACTTAATGGCCTGGCTCTTGTGAGGTCTCATGGTATTAGGGTTGTATTTTGTTTTCATCTATGCCTTTTTATTTTCTTTTCTGATACAGTGACTCAACGATTTTTGGCTAGTGTAGTATGGGAATTTTTTCGTTGACAATCATTAGAAAGATTGATTTTGCTCTTTGATTTGGGTTATTTTCTCAGTTCTACTCATTTTCGTGTTTTGTTTGTCTTGAGTGAGCTAAGGGCTGTTGCATTTAATTTGAACTTTATTAGATTTTGGCAACATGTGGGTTGAGTTTATTGTGGTTGAACTTTTCTTTTTTTCTTAATGCTGCTATCACTATGAAGAAATAATATTGGTTGATTCCGTATGATTCTCCTCAGTTCCTGAAGAATGTTGGTGGATGCACTAAATCATGCGTTGAACTTAAGTTTTTTTTGCATAATAAATTTGAGAATATACACTGCTATGAGGTAGCTGCCTTTGAAACCCTATTATCAAGTCACCTCTTTATTAGAAACATCTTGATTTGTTTTTTGAGTGTTGGTGTTCTCATCTGCCTTAGAGGATTGTTGCATTGGATTCCCATTTAACATTGAGAAAGCAAATTTATAGGTTCCCCTACGTGCATAGGCAGTACTGACATTTTGTGATTGTTGCTTGGTATTTGTTTGCTTTAGGATTTCCTGTTGGTATCTGGTTTTGTCCAAAGTATTACCCGTTTCTTGCTTTTCGTTTTTGAGCTGAAGAAATGTAAACCTTGGAGTTTTCTTTGCTTTGTTGTAGGTTCTGGACATTGGAGGGAGCATTTTTTATTATTGGACATGCTAAGGTATCATCTTCATGAAGTGTTTCTTATTTGTATGTTATAGGTGCCGTCCTTGTTCTTGTTCTTGCTTATAATTTCTTATTATTTTATAGTTCTAGTTGATTGCAGCCATGCAGTGAGACTACATACAGTGGAGTTGTATTTGTCAAAATAAATAAATAATTTATTGCTGAAAGTTTCGAGACATTGATTTTCTGACATTTCAAAATAACATTTCCATGATTTTGCTTGTTGGTATATTTTATATAGTTTTTTGTGCAAAATTATAAGATGAATTTGATGGTAGTTTTATTTGATTGTTGTATGATCTTATACACTTGAGCTGTTGTTTTCCCATTCCTTTCTTTTGATTTTTTCCACCATATAAGACATTGATAATGCGCATGAATTGGTTAGATGTTCCGTTTTTTGTATGGGAATGAGATTGAGTCTATACTCTATAACTGAACATTTTATTTTGATGTATCATGATTTGTGACCAAGGGCGGTGTACCAATCATTTTAGTGCTTAAAGTGGTGTCCGAATGATTAAGTTTTACAACTTGAGCATTGTGGATAATTTAATTTTTACCAAAGTAACCTGCACACTGCATTCTAGACCAGGGTGTCCTGCCTTTACCAAATGAAACATTAATTTATATCAATTTGCGCTAACCTCGGATTTGTCTTCCAGAATCCAGATGAGCTTTTTCGCCATTTAAGAAAGCAGGTCTATTCACATCTATTCCCTCCCGGTACTTTCATCTAGCAGACACTGGTCTCATAATGTTTTTGATTGTTATTCTTCTTGGTATGATTATTGCAAGTTATTAAAAAAATTAACAATGTTGAGCCCAGTTGAATTTAACCACATGACATGATTGTTCTTTCTGCTATTTCCCAGTGGTTTTTTATATGCTGCTTTTATGGCGTTGTTTGAATTTTGGTATTACATGAAAATAAGATGGTTCCCTATGAGCAAAACATACTTTTATCTGATACTTGTGATGACAGTTCCCTAACTGAAACTGATGATAGTTCCCAAACTGAAACAAAAGCTCGTTTTCCATGTATTACACCTACTTCCTTGATTTGGAATAATGTCTTTTTTTTTTTTTTTTTCCTACTTGTAATTTTCCTTCACGGTGTGGTCTAATGCATGTGTTTGCTTCAAGGTTGATTCTTTGGTTTGGGAATTTTGTTTAACAGTTATGAACCTTAAACTTTCTGATGTTGAGACATATTTGTATTTTATCTCATTGCAAAGTGCATTTCATCTTGCATCCAGGTGTTGAAGGAAAAAAATGGAAAGTTCATCATCATTTACAGCCCTTGAGGCCAAAATAAAAGGAATATCTTTTAGTTTGGCAACTCGTCAAGAGATCGTAAGTAGATAGTTATGTTGATTCTGTATTGTGCAAAAATTCAGTATGAGGTTCAGTTGCAGAAAATGTTCTTTATATATTTATTTACTTCTTGGAACCTTCAACAATCTGATTTCTTGCTATAATGGGTAAAAGCATTTTCTTTGACATGAGCCTGAGATCTTCACTTTCTGTTTGGTATTTGCGTCAAGAATTCAGTACTTCTTCCATATTTACAGCTGATAACTGATTCAATGAATTTTGTTCAATACATAAGAAATCAGTAAAGGAGGGAAAAAAAAATATCTTCAAGTAGGGATGTGCATTATTTACAGTTTATCATTATAAGTTTTGCTGTTTCTGCATTTGTTGAATGTTTGATCCCTATGTATCTCTTGTTTAGTGTAAAGCATCCGGTAGCCAGTGCCCTATCAGCCATGCTACTCAACTCTTCTCTAATCCTTTTCTTGGCCTGCCACTTGAAACTGGCAAATGTGAGACCTGCGGTACCGGTGAGGCCGGGCAATGCGAAGGTCTGCTAATCGATTTACCAATTTGTAGCTTCGGGATGGATGAGAGAACTATTTTGCCATTTTTAATACACTGCCCTCTTTCTTGCTAATTTGTCAGGCCACTTTGGATACATTGAGTTACCAACTCCCATATACCATCCGGATCATGTCAGTGAGCTGAAAAGAATGTTGAGCTTCTTGTGCCTCAAGTGCTTGAAGTTGAAGTTTAAGAATAGGAAGGTATTGTATCACATGACACTGTTCTCTAAAGTTGTCTTAGCCTACCCACTTAATCCCTGCCAATTCTTCTATTTTCCCTTACTTTTTTTTTTTGCTTAAGATTGAGATTCCATATCATCTTCTGTGTTAATAGACAATTTAAATGATTATTTTTGCTTAAAACCACGTAGAGTTAAGTTTTGATAGCACTTCTAGATGCATAAATATTTTTGTGCTCTTCGTAGCAATAATTCCATTAAGAATATGACTAGCTTACTTCTATCATCTGTTTATGCCCTATGACCAGTTTATGATTGTTACCTTCCATTTCAGGTGAACAGTAGTGGTGGTGGTTTTGGGGAAATAGCGACCTCGTGCTGTCCGGTAATTTTTTTTCTTATCTTTGTATATCCATTTATGCATCCATACACATATTTTTTCTTTGGCCTATTACCAACTGTTATGTAGTTCTCGGAATGTTTAGTTTTTCCTTTCCGATTATTATGCAGTTTTGAACAATACTCTAAATTTAGAAATCATCAACCAATTTGGGAAATCGGAGCTCATGCAAGACCTATATATGTGTGACAATGCAATTTGTTTCTCCCTAGCCTTTTTGTCTTCCTGAAACCAAACTCAGATTTTTGCCTGTGAATTTTGTCCGCATTTCACTTTTTCTATATGAATCTCACTAGAGCTAAGACACTCTTGTGGTTCGTATGAAGTTCTCACAATCATTTATGTTAATCTTGAATATCTCTTGCAGTCAGGCTCCATTGGGCAATCATGAGCTCTAAATGGAGTGTATAAATCCCTTTACTTATCTTCTGGCATCCCCAAAGTCTTTCTTCAATATAGTCATTCTTCTTTTTGCTGTCTGCTTGTTGGTCCTTATTTCCCTTTCCAAGAGCAGGTAGAATTTTTGAAAAATTTGACTCTCTTCAGTTTGTGTGAAAAATGTACCGACACATTTCTGAGTGTAAACTACTTTAGAGATTCAATCATGGAATCAGTTAATTCTGCAAATTTTGCTGGTTGAGGTAACTCAAAATATTATGTGCAGTTGATGTTTAGACAACTACTGAATAACGTTGTAGCATTTTCTCATTCGGTCATGCTGATGATCCTAATAATATCTGTGAACATTATCAATGTGCTGTTCAATGAAACCTTTCTATGTAGGTATTTGACATTGTCCACATTATTTGTACTCTGTTACAACCTACATTCCCTGTCTGTTGTTTGCTTTGTCTGTTGTTTGCTTTGCTTCTTGCACTTTGAGCATTCTATGCCTCTGAATATGGTTGTCATTTACTGGAAACTTGTCAAGGTATGTTTTAGTTTGTCTGCAAGTGTGAACTCATGTTCCTCACTTGATACCATTTTTTAATCATTATTCTGTCTTCATTTGGGGAACTTTGTTAAAATGGGAAGTTATGGTTTTAATCCTTGAATATGGAGGACATGGTATTGTTTGTTATGTTTTAAGCCTTGGGTTAGGCTTAAAGATCGAATAATGCAGTTAAGCTTAACATGTGAAATGCACTTTTTAGAAACAAATGCCTAAAAACCTTCTTGGAGAAAAGTATTAGTGTGCTTCAAGCTTTCACATATTTGCAGGAGATTTCACAAATCTCAATCAACGAAAACAAGACTACTGACGGGGCCTGCTATTTGGAATTGAAAGTACCAGCAAGATCAACACTTGATGGAGGATTCTGGAGCTTCTTGGAAAAATATGGATTCCGTTACGGAAATACGTATATGCATTCTCGGCCACTTCTTCCTTCCGAGGTTCTGCTTGCAAAGTTTTATTTGGTTGATGCTTTGATTTTGTTGTCCTAGGAACTCATCTGGTTTGAATAAGTTTTTTAATTTCACCACTTTTTTGTATCAATTGTATCTTTGAGCTAGTTTCCTAATGTTTACATTTCATTAAAAGGTTCATTGTGAAAATCGTAGTAGCTAGCTATATCATTGTGGGTACTGGGTATGTGTTGCTGTTATGGAATATAGTGCTGAACAACTGACATTAAGACGCTGGAAGCTTTAACAAATTTCTAGTTCCTGAGTGAATTTCATTAAGTGCACTTCTAATGCCACTAAAAGATCGCTGCTTACTGCAATCTTACTCATAGTTACAGTCTTGTTCAGCAAGCTTTTCTTCTGTCTCCTTGTGTGTCTTTTCATATCTTTGGCTTGGAGAGTTCTTCCAGACTACATGACTAATGCAGAAAACGATTTGACCTGACCTTTTTTGGACCCCTTAACATTAACAAAAGTATTTTGTATCTAGTCATGCCTTGTTATCTATAACTTTCTCATTATGCAAAATCATGGTGGAAAGAGCTAATTTTCTTTGTTTCCTTTTCATGACTCGGTAAAGGTGATGGCTATATTGAAAAAGATTCCCAATGACACCAGAAAAAAGCTAACTGCGAAAGGTTATTTCCCTCAAGACGGGTACATAATCCAATACCTACCAGTCCCTCCAAATTGTTTATCAGTGCCTGATATTTCAGATGGAATCAGTACTATGTCGACGGTGAGATGTTTTGACCAATTTTTTTTTCTTTTCTGCATTGTCCTGCCTTTATCCTTCGGCTGGCTGATTTTCATGATCTTATTAATGTCCAGGATTATTCCATAGCTTTGCTGAAAAAGGTGCTGAGAGTGGTGGAAATTATAAAAACTTCAAGGTCAGGAACACCAAATTTTGAATCTCAGCAGATTGAATCTAATGAGTTACAAGCTGCTGTGACGCAATATCTTGAATTTAGGGGCACCGGCAAGGTACTTTTGGCTTTTTGTGTACTGCATTTGTTTTCCAGTAGGAGACACAGGAGGTTTTCTTTTCTATTTTTGTCTGCCTCAATTTTTTCTTTTCTTTTCTAGGATGTGGCTGCATAGATGTGGTTAGTGCATGGTGCATGTGCAAAATATCCTCGTGGATATCAAATTTTCTTTTGGCATGCCTGGTTTTGCTAATCAGCATGTTTTCTTTGTTGGGTTGGGG